CGTGAACCCGCCTTCAGCGCTGCAGTAACACTGATGAAGAGTGGGTGAAAACACCTTCGCAATAATATGTTGCCTCATCAAACTTTGCCACAATGAAGGTTTCACGAATCGTTTCTCGTAGACGTTGTCTTAAGATCTATAGCTTGTATGGTGTTTTCTCTGTGAATGAGTCCTTATCAGCGCCGTGAGAATTAGGTCATCTTATCCCAAGATTATATTCCCACTCAGTGAAAGTTCCGAAGCCACCAAAGACTTCTCTTCAAAGTAAAAAACGTTTCGTGGATGTCTCCCTCAAATACACATGTATATGTATGTAAGTGTTTGTGTATACGTACGTATGTATGTAAATATCTATGTATGTATGTGTGAACAATGGCCTATCCAACACAGTTCCTACGATTTACATCAGCCTCGGCGCCGCGACCCCCTCAACTGAGCTGATAGGGAGGCCGCGTTCCTCCCCTTCTCCCTACCCGGAAATCCCCGAATAAGCGCTGAAATTGTACTGGTACTGGAATTAGCCAGAGGTCCATGCCGTTTGTTACAGACGTTGGCGATGTAAAAAAGTGTAAGTGTATTATGTAAAAATGATCAATGATAAAATCAGACATGATAAACTTCACACTCGAGAAACGCTGCGGTGATCAACGTGCGCTCGCTCTCTCTCACAAACACACACAGATAGATATATATCTAGATAGCGAGAGAGTGAGAGATGGAGAGAGAGTGATGAGGAGGGAGAAAGAGAGGAGAGAGGGGGAGAGGTAGAGGTAAAGGTAGTTCTAGAGGGATAAGCAGAAAGAGAAGAAGGAGAGGGAGAGGGAAAAGGAGAAGGAAAAGAAGGAGAGAGAGATTAAAGAGAGATAAGAGAAAGATAGAGAGCAAGAGAAAGGAAGAGAGTTGAAGAAAGAGAGAGATGAAGAGAGAGGGCGAAGGGCAGATAGGAAGTAGAGGGAGAAGGAGAAAGAGGAGGAGAGGGAGAGGGAAAAGGAGAAGGAGAGCATAATAGTCTCCAATCTAGTTTACAAGAGACCCACTATAATATCTGGCAGGTCCAGAGAAACTCAGTATCTGGTTTAGCTGCTTTATTGATGGAAGTCAAACATGAAGAAGTTGGTAGTGCATCCTGACTAGCTTGGCTTGATAGCTTCGTAACGTCTCGAATTCAGCTTGGCTACAGGTGGCGTCGGGAGGTCCAGACTCTATCTTGTCAACCCAGGTCACCCTCAACCAGAAGGTACGCCCCTACAGGAAATGTGAGGTCAGAAGGCAGCTGCTCCTGCCGGATGTGTAGCTCGAAGGGGGAGTGAGTGAGGTACGCTGTTCCTCTCTATAGCAAGTCCCAGACTGAAGTGGTGGCAGCGGTGGGATATCACTATTACGGCTTAACACTTTATTATTTAGTATTTACACGCAAGTAGAATAGAACACGATAGGAGTGAGACTGGTCAGCGCTGAGGTGAGCGGAATAAGTCAAGCGGAATGTATCTGAATCCCGATAGCGGAAACAATGGGAGCATGGCTTGAGGTGTTAACTTTGAATCACCAATGCGGCATGGGACAAAATGGAGGCATCCACCCACATGGCGGTTGGACTTATGGCATGCGCCCACTTAGTCTGGTCTGTGTGCTTGCATGATGCAATATGCTATGCAGTACGTTATAGTGTGTGTGTGTGTGCGAGAGAGAGAAAGAGAGAGAGAGAGAGGGGGGGGGGGGGCAGACAGACAGATAATACACGTACCATAGCACTGTATAGTTACCACAGTAATCAATCAAATCAAAAGTTAAAGGAAGCTTTAAAATGCAACCACTTTTGGTGAAGAATCAGAATTACATCTGTTTCTTGAAGATAGATTTACATTATCTTATGTTTTCCCATTTTCTCTTCCAGCGATGCAGCAGTCGCGTGTCTACATTATCGGTGGGGTGAGTACATGTTCTTAGCGATGACATAAACGCCAGCATAACAGTGACGCGCGGTGACAGCGTCGAACGGCCACATCCCAGCGGCACTAACAGGCCCTCGCGCCCGCGTGTTCTTCCGTAGGGCGTCACGGTGGTGCTGGTGGTAATCGTGCTGCTGGCGGTGCTGGTGCCACCCAAGACGGAGATCCGTGCCTGCCCCGCCTCCTACGAGAAGCATCCCCTGATCCTGGTGTCTCTCGATGGGTTCCGGGCGGACTACCTCGAGAAGGGCCTCACGCCTGGCCTGCAGGCGCTCGTGGATGGTGGGGTCCACGCCCCCTTCATGAAGCCCTCGTACCCCACCCTTACTTTCCCCAACCACTACACTATCGTCACGGTCAGTAAGAAATTGCGCTGAAGCATCAGAATTGGTTTTCAGTAAGCACACTGATTATATAGTTACTAACAATTTCACAACCTCATTACTGATTGGCCATAAAAAGCTTTCTTCACTAACATAACCATGAAACATTTTTCTTTGGTTATGCAAAACCGATAGAAGGGTTACAATATTCTGCATTTATGATAATACTATATAAAAAAGTCAATTAGCTTTGCGTACACATGTGCAGCTTACTTACTATGAAAAGCTTTAGTCTCCATTTAGCTGAACACTTCTCCCCGCCAGGGCCTGTACCCGGAGTCCCACGGCATCATCGCCAACAAGTTCTACGACCCGGATTTCAAAGCGTCCTTCTCTTTGGGCAGCGAGGAGTCTCTTAAGGGCCGCTGGTGGGGCGGGGAGCCCATCTGGAACACTCTCGCGCGCCAGGTAAGGAGGTCGTGTGGATAGACAACCTAGGCACTCACCCAACTACATTTACAAACACAGCTAAGGGTTGTTTGGCAATTCAGGTCATACCATGCCTTCCTGTTTCGTCTTCTTCTTCCTCCTCTCTACTTCTCGTGTTCACTTCCCGCTACCAAAGATCCCGTTCCCACCCTCAGGACAAGATGAGCGCGACGTTCTTCTGGCCGGGTTCCGAAGCCGACATCGGCGGTCAGCACCCGACCTACTGGTTTCCCTACAGCGACGACACGCTCTTCAGCGAGCGCGTCGAACAGGTGGGTCGGCGCTCTGGTTCATCTCGGATTTATCTTTTCTCGTTTTCGATCGTTGCAACACACATACGTAGCCGTACGCACACGTATTTAACATACATACGCACACGTAAATAGCATACAGAGCCATACGTACTCGCCTCAGGTTTTCGACTTAATCTGGAGCAGAGGAAGCAGGCTCATCTTCTAATCTCTGTAGCAGTGAGACTTCGGTGTACAAGGGTAAATCTTGCGCATTCGTAACATTGTGTCGTCCTTAACGAATACGCGTTTGGCTGCGTAAGGGCAGTCCATGGCCATCAGTGCGATTCTGCCGTCTACAAGAAATAGGAATAGACACACAGACACTTACCACTAGCCTGAGGCATAAGACTGAACAGGGCTTACATTCAGTGCGATGTCCACTTAACATACACTTCCTCATTTCACGAATTTCCATAAAAAAAAAACGAATTCGAATCCTGACACTCCTTTCAGTCAAAAGGTCGCACCAGAATTCTCTTTGGTGAATCCCATGTCCGTCCTTTCTCACAAGACCTTATCTTTTCTCTGACCTCTGATATCAGCAGCGTTAGTATATTACACCGCTGATTCGTGTCCTCTGAAATTATCCTTTCCTCTTATCTTTAAATCTGATGTACATCTTTTGTTTTATCATGTACCCATACCACACGCCAATAATGAAAACAAAAATGATATAAAGAGAAACAAAATAAAAGTTAAAATGAATAACAAAAAGAAAAACGGATTCCATAAGCAGTTCCTTAGCGAGACACGACCTTTCTCTGCAGGTACTGAGTTGGGTCACCCTGCCGGAGCATGAGAGGCCGGCCTGGATCTCCTTGTATCTCAACGAACCTGACCACACGGGCCATGGGGAGGGACCTGACAGCAACCAGGTAAGCGACAGATAGTGAAAAAAAGGTAGATAGATAGATAAATAGGTGGGTAGGTAGATAGATAGATAAATAGGTGGGTAGGTAGATAGATAGATAAATAAGTAGATAGATAGATAGGAGATAGATAGATAGATAGGAAGTACATACATATAGAGGTTAGACAGATAGATAGATAGGCAGATAGGGAGGGAGCCAACAACAATCAGGTAAGAGACAGAGAGAGAGGGAGAGATAGATAGGAAGTAGTTAGATAGATGGACAGATAGATAGGGAGGGAATCATACCACACCCAACAGTTACCAGGTAAGAGATATTGAGACAGGTAGATAAATAGATAAATAGGCGGGTAGGTAGATAGGTAGACAGACAGACAGATAGATAGGCAAGTAGGTTGGTAAGTAGTTACATATACCCAACTGAGACAGAGGGAGATAGATAAATAGACTGATAAGTATGTAGGCAGATAGATAGATAGGTAAGTAGGTAGATTGATAGATAGATAGATAGCAAGTATTTAGATAGATAGATAGACAGATAGATAGGGATGGAATCATACCACACGGACCACGGGGAAGGACCCAACAGCTACCATGTAAGAAAGAGTGCGTGGGATAGGAAGACAGAGATATAAATAGGTAGGTAGATAGATAGACAGATAGATAGATAGGTAAATAGGTAGATAAGTAGATAGATAGATAGGTAGGTAGACTATAAAATAGATAGACAGGTAGATCAGTAGATAGATAGGTATACGTAGTTAGACAAATAGAAAGAGAAACACTTAGGCAGGTAGATCAGTAGATAGATAGATAGATAGACGTAGTTAGACAGGCAAATAGATAGATAGATAGGGAAGGAAGGAGGAAGAGAAGGAGGTAAACAGGTAAACAGAAAAGGGAAAGAGACAGAGAAAGAGAAATAGATAAGCAGTAGATAAGTAGGTAGATAGATAGATAGATGTAGTTAGACAGACAAATAGATAGATAGATAGATAGGAAAGGAGGGAGGAAGAGAAGGAGGTAAACAGGTAAATAGAAAAGGGAAAGAGACAGAGAAATATAACTAGATAAT